GCCTGGGTCACCTCTTTTTGGAATGGGCACAAATAAATCAGTTGGTCAGGTAGCTGTCTTCCAAAATTCTCTGCATAAATGAATGAGTGCCTCCAGTACTGCATTGCTTTATTGAATGATATCGATTTGTATTTTATCAGTTCCCAGAACCTTGCTTTTTGCCAATGCCTTCAGTGCCCTTTGGACTGTTTCTTCAGTACCATTGGGTTAGTCATACAATAACTCTTGAAATGACTGCGTATTGACCATTTTATACACAGTGGCTCTGAGTACGCCTTCCATCTTTTTTTGATGCTTTCTGTACCATTCAGTATTTTGCCTATAAAACCCTACAGTATTTCAAGTTGAGGTTTAAATTTTTTGCAGTTATTTCAGCTTGAGAAATGCTGAGTGTGTTCCTTCCTTTTGTTTTCTTACTCCAGATCTTTGCACATTTTATTATACTATTTGACTGTCTTCTCTGTCTGTCCTTGAAGATTTTCAGTTCAGCTCTTTACCTACTCATTTCTTCCATTTGCTTTAGCATCTCTATGCTGGAAAGCAAGTTTCCGAGTCTCTTCTGACATCTATTTTGGTCTTTACTTTCTTCATTTTTCTCTTAGTGACCTTTTGCTTCCTTCCTATGTGATATTATTGATATCATCCCATAATTCTTCTGGTTTGTGGTCACAAGTGTCTAATGCTTCAAATTTGCTCTTGAGATGATCTCTAATTTCAGTTGGGATATATCCAAGGTCAGATTTTTCTCTCGTGGACATGGTTTAATTTTCTTCAGCTTCATCCTGAACTTGCATATGAGAAATTGGTGGTCTGTTCCACAGTCTGCCCCTTCCTTTATTTTGGCTGATGATATGGAGCTTTTCTATCATCTCTTTCCATAGATAGAGTCAGTTTGATGTCTGTGTATTTTATCTGGTGAAGCCCATGTGTATAATCATTGTTTACGTTGTTTAAACAAGGCAATTGCAATGAAGAAGTCATTGGTCTTGCCAAATTCTATCATGCCATCTCCAGCATCATCTCTATCACCAAGGTCATGTTTTCCAACTACTGACCTTTCCTCTTTGTTTCCAACCTTTGCATTCCAATTACCAGTAATTATCAATATGATTAGTTTCAGACTGAAGAACTTGGCAGAATTCTTCAATTACATCATCACTTGATTTTTTCCCTTGATGCAGAATTTAGAATAACAGTGGCATTCACCAGTCTTCCTTGTGTTTCTCTGGTTAAGTGCTGTTGAGTCAGTTTTGACACATAGCGATTCCAAGGAGAGGTTTGTAGGTTTGAACCACTACCTTGAGGTTCAAACTGACTTTGCAGTCCAGTGCTTATCCTACAGCACCACACCAGGACCGCTTGTAGGCATATGGATATTATCCTATCACAGGTAGCATTATACTTTAACATAGCTCTTTATATGTTCTTTTTGATTATGAATTCAACTCCATTCCTCTTCAATTTGTCATTCTTGGCATAATAAAACATATAATCATCAGATTTAAAATGGCCAATGCTAGTCCATTTCAGCTTACTAATGCCTAGGATAGCAGTCTTTATACATTCATTTTCAATTTTGTCAACTTCCAATTTTTCTGCATTCATACTTTGTACATTCTATGTTACAATTATTAATGAATGTTTGCAGCCATTTTACTCATTTTTAATTGTGCCCCAACAACAAATAAAGGTCCCAAAAAATCTTTACCCCTTTCGAATCATCATGGTCAACTCCACTTTGAGGAGACAGCTCTTTTCCATTTGTATTTTGAGTACCTTCTAACCTGAGGGGCTCATCTTCTGGCACTATATTCTGGTGCAATTAATCATGGTTCAATATTCAATATTCTGTTACTATCTGATACTGTTTCACTGCTTTTCATAAGGTTTTCAGTGGGTAAATATTCAGAAGGAGGAGAGACATTGTTTTGTTCTGCTGTGCATGGGGTCGCTATGAGTCAGTTCCGACTCGATGGCACCTGACAACAACAACAAACATTCAGAAGTAGTCTGCCTCTCCTCCTTCTGAGTTTGTTTTAGTCTGGAAGCTCAGATGAAACCTGTCCACCATGGGTGACATTTGAGGCATTTAATATACTGCTACAATGTCACCCATGGTGGTGACATTGCATCACAGCAACAAACAAGCTTCCAGCATCAGAGCAATACACAAGCCACCACAATGCCACAAGCTTACAGAAGAGTGGTGGAAATGTAAAGTATTACACACCAGCATTATTTTAATTTCACTTCCCTGACTGTTATTTAGATATTGTTTTTGTTGTTAAGCACCATAGAGTCAGTCCCAACTATTGAGATGGCGCATCTTAATTAATCTTCTATGATTTACCCACTGCTACTGAGTCTGTTCCAAATCCTAGTGACCCCACATAGGTTTCCCAAATTGTAAATCTTTATTGGAGCAAAAAGCTTCATCTTTCTCCCATGGAGTAGTTAGTATGTTTGAAATGCAGCCTTGCTGTTAGCATTCCAATTTTATCCTACAGCTTAACCAGTGTACTACATGTTGGATTTATTGCCTTATCAATTTTTTAAAAATTATTTCTGTATGATAGATACTAATACTTTTTCTACTCTTTTTACCAGTAACAGAAATATTGTCATGTTTTTCTATACTTATTTTTGAATGATCTAATCTGGTATTCTACATTATAAAGTTGTGGTTTGGAGTCTTGATTAAAGAAGTTTCCTTATTTCTATCTTGTGGATATAATTAGTTTCATTTTCTTATAGAATTTGTATTTTCCAGTATTCACACATTTTTACTCTATCTGGAAGTTATTTTTGAATATGATGTAAAATAGGGTATATGTTTTTAATGACAGTTGCACCAATACCATTTACTTATAAAGCATTATTTTCTCAGTAAGTTAAAATAACTTTGTCTTCTATTAAAATCTTTTATATAATGGAATCTATCTCTACATTTTCTCTTTCACAAACCTATTCTTATGCTACTATCATATTGCATTTACTAGTGTTTTTGTAGAATGGTATGATATCTGTAAAGTCAACTTCAAGCTCTTCATTGAAACTATAGAGTCATATGGGGTTTGTTTTTGTTTTTAATTCAGAAACTAACCTTGTTAAATTTATTCCTAAATACTTTATATAGTTTTCGGTGCTTTTGTAAATGGATTTTTTTCCCCAATTGTTCTCTCTAGGTACCTACTATTTGAGTATATTTTTATGTTTATCCAACAAACGTATCACATCATCTTATTAATTTTACTAGTCTATTTTTCTGTTAACACCACATATCCATCAATTTGACATACTTTGGTGGGCTGTGTGTTGCCCTGAGGCTAGAAGCTATGCCACCAGTATTTCACATACCAGTGGTGTCACTCTGATAAACAGGTTACATGGAAGCTTCCAGACTAAGACAGACTAGAAAGAAAGTCTTGGCAATATATTTCTAAAAAATCAACAACTGGTATTCTTTTGAAGTGCAGTTTTGCTCAGACACACATGGAGTCTCCATGAGTGAAGTCAACGTGATGGCAATTGGTAAGGTAAGAATATGACACTTCAGGTCATATGATACTTCACAAACATGAATGCCCTACTATAAGATCTTCTTAAAATGATACATGGACTCCTGGTGTGGTTCTGTATGATCAGCACTGGACTGCGAACCACAAGGTCAGCAGTTCAAACCTACCAGCGATTCCTTGGAAACCCTATACAGGATTGCTGAGAGTTGGTACTAACTCAACGGCACTTAATAACAACCAAAAGGGAAATAAAAATTAAAGTTACATTTCAGAATGAGAGAGCAATTTTAATTTCATTAATTGAATTTAAAAAATAGTTAATTGTGAACCCACAACCTCATATTATTAAAAGAAATAACCCAGAGTTAAATGGTGGATTTCAGAGTTTCTATAGACTTCACAGCACTGAACAAGAACAATAACAAAAAGAAACTCCTTAAACTGGCACAGGAAATCTATGTCTATTTAGTTACATTCTTATTATTAAAGCCAATCACATTCATAGGACTTGCAAAGAGTCTAAGATCTGAAAGAGGATAAAAAATACTATAATAGATTATTAGTCTCACTGTCTATGATCAAACTTCCATGGTCATGCTTTCCTACTTCACCAAGGAGACCATTTCATTCTTAGATAGCTAGACTAGTAAAAACTCTTGTTTCCACTGAGAAAATGTTACTTTTGAAACATCTATACATTTTCTTTATTCCATCTCTGAAGTATGAGAGAATTGCCCATCCTATAAAATACATTTTACACCTATTTGAATTTGGGCCAGCTTAGCTCCAAGTTATTTTTGATTTTTAGGATGATGATTTCCAAACAACACAGCATATAGGCTTAACTCACTAATTTAAATATATCATGTATTTTTAAAAGATGATTACATGACTCATTAAGGCAATATTTTATGTATTTTTAAAAAGTGCTACATTGCAAGCTCACTAGTTCAGGCCAGTTCAGGCCAGAAATAGATCACTCCAAATTTACTTGTGAATTTCAGAAAGAATTTAGAGAAACCAAACTGCAGAATTTGGACACAATGATTTACTCCACTAAATTCTTGAAAACGAATTCATTAGGTTTTTTCTAAAGATTATTTAAAAATAATATATTATTTGTCAAAATTTTAGTCATGGATGAATTTCAATGCATCTTCAATGATGTAATTTATTCTCATGGATTCAGAAAAGAAAAAATGTAGTAATGGAATTTTTCAAGTGGTACTAAACAGTTGTTTACACATTAGTTCGTATTGAAAAAAGGGAAACATACAAGAGGGCTTCAAAAAAGTTTCTGCAAAATTGAAATTATAACAAAAAGGAAGTTTTCCACAAACTCTACCTCACTCCAATATGAAACCTTCTCATATTGGAGTGAGGTAGAGTACCGTACAAAGGAGAAAAAAAATCCAACGTGGGAAATCAAGTTCTGTAAAACTTAGCATTAAAACAAAATAAATATATAAAAGTATTACTTACGGATACATTTCTGAAAGCTTTTTCGCTATTGCGTAAGCTGTCGGGTCTCTGTCTAGGGCATACAGAGTAATATCTGATTCCTTATGTAGAATGGCTCTTGTGTGTCCTCCTGAACCAAATGTCATATCTAGAAAATTCTATCAAATCAAAGAAAAGAAAATGATCAGTAACTTGAAACGAATGTATTCTTGTCAAATAATTGCTTTAATTTCTAGAATCAAATAATAATTTTCAGTTAAGAACAAACAGAAAAATAATTACAATCTTTTTTCTTAGAGATAATCTTGTGATACTTGAGATTCATCTCAATTAAAAGGGATCAGTACAACATAAGTAAGAGTTTCCATAAAAATCATCATTTCTGGAACTAGGTGGCCAATTCATAACAAACTGAAAATTTCCCCCATAAGGTCAACATGACCACAATTTTGTGATACTAGATTTTTAGTGTTTTCAGTAGTTGACTGGTAATGACATTTCTAATGATTTCTCATCATTTGGAGATGGCTGGCAATTAGTGTGGCTCACTTCATCTCAATATCCCCAAATACTTAATTGAAAAATAAAGATATTCAAGAACATTAATTGCTGTTGAAAGTTGTACATCTCAAGAAAATAGAATTTGAAAAAGTTGTGAGATATATATATATATATATATATATATAATGACCAAACAAGAAGAGTAGCTTCTGAGACTGTTTATGTATACTGAAATTCCTTATAGGATTTGATTCTTGGTTTTAGAGTTGTTGTGTTAGGGTTTCACACTGGCCTAATAAAGTGTTTAGTGCTTCTCTTCTACTTCCAACTTCATTGTGTAGTGTCTGTGGTCTTAGAAGCTTACAAGTGACCATTCAAGGCACAGCCATTGGTCATTATATACCTGAAGCACCAGAGAATGAAGGAGAATCGGGGATAAGAATAGAATATGGATTATGTGGCTAATTGTCTGCAGGAACATCTGCCTCCTTTGCCACAAGACCAGAAGAACTGGATGGTGGTGGTGGTTGTGTGCCGTGGAGTTGGTTCCGACCCACAGTGACCCTGTACAGGGTTTCTGAGGCTATAAATCTTTACGGGAGCAGAAAGCCTCATCTCTCTCCCACGGAGCAGCTGGTAGTTTTGAACTGCCGACCTTGAGGTTCGCAGCCGATTCGTAATCACTACGCTACCAGAGTTCCTTAGTGCCGGGTTATTGAACATTTTGATCACTGAAAAATCCTGATCAAAGGTCGTAGAATATAAAACAGAATTTCAAATCCTCATGGACTCTAGACTTTCAGAATCCATGAAGTATAGAAGAGCTCCTGAAACTACTGCCTTTAACCAAAAATATCCCCTGAAGATGATATATATAAAACTCAGACAGAAAACAATTGCCAACCAAGATTCATATACCCAGCTAAGCTGTCCCTTAAATGTGATGGTAAAAGTAGGACATTTCCTGATAAGCAGAAATTAAAGGAATTTGTAATGACCAGATCAACTTTACAAAAAATGCTAAAGGGTTTTATTTTTACTGAGAACCCAAAGCAGTAGACAACAACCTAAGATTACTATACATGACAACCCAACCTAGAACTCAATCCAGATATAGAAGTATTTAAAGTAAAACAAACTTACAAGACTGAAAATAGGGAACCAGGGTTATCAACTTATAATGAAGTCAACTACAAACTAAAAAGAGGGAACAGTGTAGTCACAGTACTTTCAAATGACAAGGAAGTCAAGTCGATTTCAAGATAAAACAGACTATTTTAAATAGGGAAAAAATTCAACAAGGTACAGTGTGACCTGTAATTTACCCTAAAAATTAATACAACTGCAAATCAAATAAAAACGGGAAAATCAGAAAGATATAGTAACATGAACACAACAGAAATGAAAATGAAAAGAAAACCCACAAACAAAATGAACTCACTGCAGAAAATTATGCGGAACAAAGAAACTAGCAGCACCTGAAAATAACACACAGCAAAATGAAGCAATCAATTCATACCTATTGTAAATAGATTACCTGCACCAGTCATGAGACAGAGCAGAATGGACAAGAAAACAGGGTGCTTCAACATGCGATCTACAAGAGACACATCAAAAAGATCGAGACACCCTAAATGTCCATCAAGAGAAGACTGGTTAAACAAACTTTGGTACAAATACACAATGGAATATTACACAATGATGAATCTGCGAAACACCTCACAACATGGATGAACCTGAAGGACATTATGTTGAGTGAAATTAATCAGTCACTAAAGGATAAACATTGCTGAGGTCAATGTTGTAAAAAATTAAGAAATGGCCTTTTAAATAAAAGAAATAATCTACGATGGTCAACAGGAGAATGGAGGAAGTAAAATTACTCACAGAATAGAGTGTAGACCCATGTCAACACAGGTGATGGGGCAGGCAATATACAAGGGATTGTTAGCAAAGATGGAGGTAGTGGGAGACAGGAAAGAATGCAATAATAAAAGAACAAAGATAAATAACTTATAGTACAAGGAGGGGATTGCAATATGAGTTGCTAAATGTAAAACTGCTCTGTAAACCCTTACAATAAAAAAAATTTAATAAAAAAGTAAATAATAAATAAATAACAAAAATTCCCTGAAGTCTTTAAAACCTAATGATACATTAACTTAACTAATAAAAAGGCTTGCCTTGAGCATTATGCTCTTTTAAGAAATATCTACATGAGATAAAATTGACAATGCTACAGGAAAGATTAGATAAAAACCTTAGGGGGTAGTAAGTTTATGATGATAAAGCTGGAACAACTTAGGAAATGAGGGTGAGAATGGTTTCACAACTCAAAGAATGTAATCACGGTCATTAGATTGCACATGTAGTAACTTTTGAATTGATTTCTACATGTATAATCTAATGAAAGAAGGAATATGCGTTGCTGTGTATATTCGCAATAACAACAATAAAATAAAAATTCAGGAAAAAAATGTCACCTGTGAATACTACAAATCTCTAAAATATCACTTATATGAAACCAAACCGTCAAGCATTTATAATAAGAATGAACAATTAAGAGGGCAGGGAAACTGGATTAATGGCAACAGAACAACCAGAATGGGAATATTGAGAATGCTCGAGCATTATGAAGACTGTAACCAATATCATGGAACAATGTGTGTAGAAACTGTTGAATAGGAACCTAAACTGCTATGTAAACCTTCCTTGAAAATTCAATAAAACATTATTCTTAAAAAACATGTTATGATAGATGTTATAAGTTAGAAACTTACCAGTTAAAGGCAGGCATGCATAGTGATACAATGGCAGTATGAACAAAGAATCAATCTTAAAAAGGAAAATTGTCCAAAACATAGATAATTTTTATGCAAAGAAGTACCAATATTATTTATTTATAGTGGAAAATGAAAACAACCTAAATATTTAATAATAGGAAATAATTTTAAAATTTTAGTGGACAAATGGTGTAATGATTAAAAATTGTGTTTTCTAAGATTACTAATTAAATATAAAAATGCTTATGCTATACATTCAATGAAAAATAAATGGATAAAAGTATGCATTTGCAAAAAAACAAAACAAAACAAAACATCCAAAACAGAGAGAAAGAGAATATATAACTGTAAATAGTCATAGGACCAATCTTAAAAATCATGAAAATCTGTCATAGAAAAAGGCCCAAGACTTTTTAAGTCAAAACACCTGAGGTTGGTTCTCATTTTGAAACTAAATTAGTTGGCTTTGGAAAAATCACTTAAAATTCCATTATCTTTAGATTCTCCCGTTTAAAAAGAAAAAGAGATACCACCACTACCCGCTAATTGGAAAGAAGACATATAATTTCTCATCTAAATCAACATACTTTTAAGAGTAAAAGGTTTTCCAGTCATAATTTCTTGAGGTACTTGAGTGCATGTCTTTAAATGTTTGGATCATTCTAGATGCACAATGAGCTTAATTGAATCTGAATCTACTCCTTGGCTATTTAATTAGGCCACATTCTAAACAGAATACTCAGGTCATAGTTGGGCAAGAAACCATAAGAAAACATATGTGTATACAAGTTAGTCAATTGTAGCTGATTTGGAAGTGAAGATCCTCTCAGAACATACCCTCATAATTATGCTGTTGTTTTATTGAGTCCTTTCAAAAAGTTTCACTCGTGTTATGAAAACAAAACAAATAGTCCAATAATATTAAATACAATGACAACCTATACTATCAGCCAGACTAAAAAATATTAAATATCTAATTTATTAAAAAGTTCATATGTACATTTCAGAAGAAGGAAGAATTGATGTAATAGATTTTGATATTTTCTCTGTTCTGAATGTTACAATTTATTTTAAAGCAGTGGTCAAAAATAGGGCAAAATTATGCTTTGATATTTTTATTCATAGCTATCATGCTGAAGTCCTGTAGTCAGAAAAGGTAGCTTTGTATTCCAGGAATAACTCTTCTGATCAAAATCGAGACAAGGACAGAAGTAAAACATATGAGTGATATAAATATGATAAAAATGTACAACAACTGTCTCACGCCTGGTAGGGTGCTGTACGATAATGCACTAGAATGCAAGGTTGGTTTGAACCACAAGGTCAGCGATTCAAACCCAGCAGCCACTCCTCGGAAACCCTATACAGGATCACTATGAATTAGAAATAACTCCATGGCACTTAACAACAAGCTCTCTTTAGTATGTATAATTGTGTGCTATAAAGTAACTATACTTTTATTTCTGTCAGCACAAAAGCATGATCACATTATAGTTTCATCATTTTCTATAGTAACCTTAAAACACTTAATCTTATGATTTTGTGACAGCAATGCATATTTAAATTTCAGGATCAAATCATTTCTTTAACCAGTTAGCTTACTTATGAGTGGGTTTTCAAAAAAATTGTGGGAAAAGTCCATTATCTTTCAATTTCATTTCCCATGAACTTCTTGAAGGCCCCTCACATACTGAAA